GCTAGACCCAAGTCTTTCCCTAACCTTTTGCCCTAACCTAGCCTCGAGAACAACCCTGCTCTCCACTAATTGTAGGCTAAGACTGTTATACACAGAATCAGATTCTTATCCACACAATTCGAGTAATAGCTAAGCTAGAGTGCTTCTTGATTCTAAATTTTTCAACTATCGTACTCCCGTTGATAGGTGGAGGATTTCCGATCGGTGATAGAAATGAAACGTGAGATTCGTTTTCTTCCAAAATTTTCCTCATAATCGATCTCTCGAAATGAGTCTTTCCGGAGATAAGCAAACATGTCAGAAAGGGAAAAGAGAAACACACAAATCGACGTGTTTTTCTCTTTTCCCCATTTTGGTTTCTTCTCGTTCAACAATTTTTTTCGGCAACAGTCCTTTTCGATGGCCGGTTTTCCCTGATCTTCTCATAATTTCTCAATGTGCCAAGTGTCTGGATTTCTCAGGAGAATAACTACTCCTGAGAAAACTACTCTTTATGTACTAGACATGGGAAAATTCCCGAACCTAATTTCACCTTCGTTTTCATTCCATTCAATTCCAGTCTCTCTCGCCGTCTCTCAGCCGATTGTTCTGGAATTTTGTTTAGAAATAGAATGTCTACAAGTAGAGAATGGTCATCCTCTAATTGTAGACAAAATTTCAGAGCAATTGGTCAAGAGACGGCCGAGAAAATGAAGGCGAAATTAGGTTCGACTTGGAATTTTCCCATGTGAGTCCTATACTTCTAGTGAGTCCTATACTTCGTTGCTCGTAAGCATTAACGATTGTCAACGAAGTATAGGACTCACTAGTTCGTTCAGTATGTAAGCATTAACGATTGTCAAAGTGTTAACAATAAGAGATCAAATATGCAATTATAGCATACGTCACTCACTCAAAAAATTACATAGTAAGAACTAATTAGACTGAAAAATATAGTAAAAAGCTATGATTTATAAGAAGTGTATTGTACAACTCTTCCTTTTTTTTCCACTTGATCAGCACAGAAATTAGTGATCGTGTGGCAAAATCGTGTGGATCGTGTGACTCTCGGTGATGCCCGATCGGCGGTGGAATGATTGTCACAAAGGGCATAAGCCAAGCAATGTACAGCACTGGACAATGAAATAACATATTTGAAAAAAGATCGTCACTTTCGCGCGTCTGTAACTCCCTTGTCTTTGAGTTTAAACTATTAGTGTTATCCATTTTCTGGAAGCTCTTTTCAAGGGCTACACAATGGTAATATTAATATTTAGAAATACGGTAAAGACAAGGGAGTTATAGACGCGCGAAAGTGACGATCTTTTTCAAATATGATATTTCATTGTTCAGTCGTGTACGTGGAATGAGAAATGGAGATATTTACAGTATTTACAGTGTAAGCTACAGTGTAAGCTAGCTTAGAAAAATTGTGAATAGAATAACTGAATAGGATTAAAGACGTTATTCGAAATAATGCCTTAAATCAAGCCACTCGTTTCTGTTGCTCCAATAGCTTGATGAATCTTGATAGCTTGCTATTGCTCGATGTATTGATCTTGTAGATAAAAGGTATTTTAGCATGGCTTTAAAAACGAATAAACACTGAATAGACAGTTGGAACTAGAGTAAATTAAAAGCTTGCGCGTCGCCGGGACTCGAACCCTTCACCGGGACTCGAACCTTTCACTTCTCGGGCAACTGTGCTAACCATTACATCACAATGGAATTGATCTCCTTTACTCCAAAGGGAGTTACCGTATTTTCTCTAATAGTAGTGGACCCTGAGCGTTGCCTAAATTCCTCGAAATCTCGAGAACCGCTTATCAGAATCTATCGATATGTGGGCGGAAAATGTAGCTGACGATGAGATCTAGTGGGAGATTAGAGTGTTGAGCTTCTGTGAAAGCTTAGAAACTATAAAATCGTCATCAACTCGGCTCAGCGCGGTGCATTACTATTAGAAAGAATACTATTAGAAAGTAATTCTTTAAACTTTCAGTAGCAAATTCTTAGCTCAGCTAACGTTAAGAACTCGATCAATCGACAAAACTTGGGTTTTGTTTAGTCAAAACGCAATTTTCGGTTCATTGCTTTCCCTAATCCCGCTTCCTCGGTAGCTCGCTTTCCTAAATTCCTCGAAATCTCGAGAACCGCTTATCAGAACCTATCGATGTGTGGTCGGAAAATGTAGCTGACGATGAGATCTTGACGATGATTAGAGTGTTGAGCTTCTGGGAAAACTTAGAAACTGTAAAATGGGCATCAACTCGACGGGGTGCATTAGGGAAAAGCCGGTACATGAAAAACACACTTTTAAATGGCGCACTGAACCCTCCAGGCGCACCGAATGAACTCTAAAGTCATGCAGAAGGAGAAATCTTGGCCCAAGCCTTTTCCTAAGCTTTTCTTTCTCATTTCCTACTGATAAAATACCGTATTCTCTCTAATAGTAGTGGATCCTGAGCGCCGCCTAAATTCCTCGAAATCTCGAGAACCCCTTATCAGAACCTATCGATGTGTGGGCGGAAAATGTAGCTGACGATGAGATCTTGACGATGATTAGCATTTTGAGCTTCTGGGAAAAATTGGGAACGAGAAAATAGGCATCAACTCGGCTCAACCGCAGGACGGCTAACCAAAAGTCGGACGATGAGATCTAGTGGAGGATTTGAGTGTTGAGCTTCTGCAAAAGCTTGGAAACGGTAAAATAGTCACCAACTCGGCTCGCTAGGGTGCAGAAAATTAGAGAAAATACGGTAACTAGACAAGAAAAAGAAAACTGCAAAAAAAGCTAGCAAAGATAGCAAAAATCTTTCAATAAATTTAAAACAATCTAGCCTGAAAGCTGGCAGTTTTTTCAAGCTTTCCTTGAAAAAAATCGAGATCACTATTTACAGAACGAGAGATTTTGGTATGAAAGATGGTTCAAAAAAAAGAAAAAAATGAACAAATTGCCGTAATTATTTTCTAATTTTCTAAAAGACATGAAAAACTATCGTAATCTTTCATCTTTCTTTTTCGTAATCTGTTCGAAAACGTCAACTTTCCCTCTAAATCAATCGAATTTTGATCCCAATCGGGGGTGGGACAAATGCGACCTTTTTTTGCGCACCTGGACATTTGCGCACCTTTTTTTTGCTGGAAAAGGCCTTAGGAAAGGTCCTAGAGCTTCAAAAATGTTTGCATAAAGGGGAACCGTATGCGTAGATTCCGAATTTCGACAAATCAGACCTCGCTGAAACGTCAAATTTGGGCTAAAAGGCAAAAACTGCGGAAAAGCGTTAAGTTGCGTAGTTTTTGCCTTTTAGCTCAAATTTGACGTGTCAGCGAGGTCTGATTTGTCGAAATTCGGAATCTACGCATACGATTCCCTTATATGGATATATTTTCGAAGCTCTACGACCTTTCCTAAGGCCTTTTCCAGCAAAAAAAGGTGCGCAAATGTCCAGGTGCGCAAAAAAGGTCGCCAATGAATAAAACTTTCTAGATTAACTTGATTCCTTAATTATCAAATAATCATTTTAAATTTTTCCAAAATTTTAAGTTTGAAAAAAAGAACACTGGCGGGACATTGTCACCTGATGTCAGGTGAGTTTTTTTAAAGCTAGAAAAACAACGTGGTCCCATGCGATTGTTTGTGCAAAAACGCCATTGTCGTCAACGTGTTAAGGAAAAACGCAAACGCAAAAACGCAACTCTGTCAGTGAATACCTTAAGTTCAGTAAAGAAACTCCTAAACGGAACTCAAAAGCAAATAGGTATTCAAATTTCAGAATACTAGAACGCGCTTGCTTTTCTTCTCACAAAATCATCCGATCATCTCGCCAATCTTTTTTCTTTTTTTTTCATTTTTCTCGACACAAACCTCACACAAAAGCTGAAGAAAAAGAAAAAGAAAAAAAAGCACAAAAGAAAGGAAGGAAAAGTGGCAGTTTAGAGTCACTTTTGAATGGAATCAAGAGAAAAGAATTGAGAGATCAGAAATGAAGAAAAAATAACAACAATGTGAATGAGTAAAAGTGGGAAATAGTTCAAAACGTTCTTTTCAAAGCGTTTTGAACAAAATTTGTAGATGAATAGTAACAAAATTTGAGAGGAAACGATTCGTTTCTGTTTTTCAATGATAGAAGCAAGTATAGTTCTTATATACTTTGTGCTCAATTGTAAAAGCACCCTTTCTGGCGCACCAAATTCCTCATTTACTCCCAGAAACGATGATTTGGTAGCACGAGGAGAAAGTGGAGACTTGAGTGCACCAGAAAGGTGTGTTTACAGGAATGAGCTCAAAGTTCGCCCAGTTCGCCTAGCCGGAAAGTAGCAGCTCTCGAATTTGAAGCACTTGTGAAAGTTGACTGCAAGGATTTTATTTTTTCGGCCTGGAAATCAGCCGGATCGAATCCGCATTACCGTACACAAAAAAGCGTCGGAAAAACACCATCTGGCTGGCAGGGCGACCAGTCAAAACGTTAATTTCATTGCTTTCCACTTTCAGCTAAACATTTGATGCTTCTATTATTGATTTACCTGCATCGTAATCGATCAGTCAATTCACTAAAATAATAAGATTTGCATGTTCTCACCACAAAAATACGTAAAGCTCAATTTATCAAATTAGAAAAAATCGACTCTCGAGATAAATCTTAATACCGAAAAGAAACCTTATTCTTACACAAAAAAACAACAACTGCACAAATTCTAATGGAATCACAGGATATGATCAAAACAAATAAAAAAGATTGAGCAAAAAGAGCAAAAAGGGAAATGAAAAGAAAGAGAAAACACCAAAAAGTTGAGGATAGGAAATGTTTTTTGGCGGATATGGCAAGCTTGTCAAAAATGTACACAAATTTATATCTCTTTACCTTATTAAAGAAAGTCAAACCAGTGAATGACTAAAGATTGGGCGTATCCATAACGAGAGTAACTTACAAAGATTAATAACACCTACTTTCTCAAAGAAAATCAATGAAATGGAATGCTTAGGGCTTCTAAAACAAGAGTAAACCTCAAATCTTTTACTGGTATGAGCCGACTTGTGACGAGTTGCTGTGGGGAATTCCTGAATTCATTTGCTTTCGAACACGGAACACTTTCTCAATGCCCTAAAACGCTGTTTGAATATAATCTTGCATCAACAAATTACCATTTTGAAGATGTTAAAGTTGTGCTCGATGAGGCCTTTTTTCTCATAGTTCTCCGATCTCAGAATGCACACAAGGGCCAAATGTTTGGAAAGTTGACGAAGAACGAGGACCTAAAAGAAACTAGACAGATAAGAAAAATAAATTAAAGCTCACCTGTTCTGTTTGTAATCGAATCTCTGCATACGATTTCTCGTCGAACGCTGAAGTGCCATCGTTTTTGCTACTAAAATCGATATTTTTAATATCGATTAATAACTAACTCTTCTAGAAACTCATTATTACTGCATCTACAAGCTAGCCATTTCTAATTTAAAAACAAACCCATAAATTGCCGAGATATCAATCGTAACATCAATCATATCACAGCACAGTTCATAAGTTGCCATTTCGACGGGACTTGAATCGGTGGCAATGTAAATTTTCGACACCACATCAAAAAGAAATGATTTCTCGACGTTTGAGCTCTAAAAAACAAGCATGATAAAAATTTAACTTCCTAAAGCATTATTCGAAAACGTCACCTGATTGAAGATATCCAATAGTCGTTCAAGGGTTGGTAGTTGTTTGATCAATTTTTGCACAACCTAAAACGGTTACTCTTTTTATTATAATAGTTTTAGAAAACCCAAATCTCACCTTACTAAACGCTTCGAATATTGAGTGATCGTAAATCGAGGTGAGATGAAATGAGACTGTGTTCATGATTTTATCGAGTCCTTGCTCCGACAGATCTTCTTTCATCTAAAAAAATAAATGGTTATCTGTAAAAAAAATAGAGTATTACATTAAAAAGTAAACATTACCTTGTGAAAAAGCTCAAAGTTCGTGTCTAGTTTCGATTCTTCGGGAAGACCATCAACCTGGAAACGAGAAAATATATTTTTTTTTTTTATTTTTTTTTTTTTTTTTTTTTTTTTTTTTTTTTTTTTTTTTTTTTTTTTTTTTTTTTTTTTTTTTTTTTTTTTTTTTTTTTTTTTTTTTTTTTCTTTTTTACATATTTATTTTCTTCTTTTTTTTCTTTTTTTTTTTTTTTTTTATCTTTTTAAAATTTTTTATTTCATATTCCCCCCCCCCCTATTTTAATAAATAATAAAAAAAAAAAAAACATTACATATATATATCCTACTATCCCCCACTCCAAAATATATTCACATAAAAAAAAAATATAACCACTTAAACCCCCCAAAAAAAAAATAAAAAAATAAAAACAAAAAAAAAAAAAAACACAAAAAACCCACAAAAAAAAAAAAAAAAAAATATAAAAAAAAAAAAAAAAAAAAAAAAAAAAAAAAAAAAAACAAAAAAAAAAAAAAAAAAAAAAAACAAAAAAAAAAAAAAAAAAAAAAAAAAAAAAAAAAAAAAAAAAAAAACCCAAAAAATATAAAATAAAAAAAAAAAAAAAACAAACAAACAAAAAAAAAAAAACAAAAAAAAAAAAAAAAAAAAAAAAACCAAAATAAAAAAAAAAAAAAAAAAAAAAAAAAATAATATAAAAAAAAAAAAAAAAAAAAAAAAAAAAAAAAAAAAAAAAAAAAAAAAAAAAAAAAAAAAAAAAAACAAAAAAAAAAAAAAAAAAAAAATAATAATTTTAGGGGGAAAAAATAATTAAAAAATATTTAAATAAATAAAAAAAAAAAAAAAAAAAAAAAAAAAAAAAAAAAAAAAAATAAAAAAAAAAAAAAAAAAAAAAAAAAAAAAAAAAAAAAAAAAAAAAAAAAAACCAAAAAAAAAAAAACAAAAAAAAAAAAAAAAAAAAACAAAAAAAAAAAAAAAAAAAAAAAAAAAAAAAAAAAAAAAAAAAAAAAAAAAAAAAAAAAAAAAACAAAAAAAAAAAAAAAAAAAACCCACAAAACACCACCCAAAAAAAAAAAAAAAAAAAAAAAAAAAAAAAAAAAAAAAAAAAAAAAAAAAAAAAAAAAAAAAAAAAAAAAAAAAATATAAAAAAAAAAAAAAAAATATTTTGGAAAGGGGGGAGAGCAAAAAGTATAAAAAAAGGGGGGGAGGAAAAAAAAAAAAAAATTTTTTTTTTTTTTTTATAAATTTTTTTAAAAAAAATATTTTTTTGAATTATATTTTTTTAAAAAAAAAAAATTTAAATTGCACCAACCTAGTAGCATTTATGGCAAACTTTTTACAAACCTTATGAATGAAGACTTCAAACTTGATGTTCTGGTTGATTTGATAGGCTTGCGCGAAATATTGGGCCATCGTTTTTTGTGCCCTAAAAATTCCGGATAAACAAAATCAAAATCGAAAACCAACTCTGTATAATCATCCTGCGCATCGATGATGAAAAGGAGTGCTCCACAACGTCTAAATAGATATTTATTATACTTTATGGTATTAACTTAAAAGTTCTCAATTTATATCATAGAAGCTATAAAAAAAGCTTACCTAAACATATCCTCCGTATTCGCATCAAACGGGCTGAGTTGTCCCGGGAATTCCACCGTCTCGAAGTTGATGAACGAAGAGCGAACGGCTAAATATTTAACATTTTCAATATTAGACAAAAAATTTTTAGCATTTTAGTTTTTGATCATAGTAATGAATTTTAAATACTAAACTCTTCGATACTATTTAGATTTTATAAATTAGGATTAAAGTTGTCATTTTACAAAAACACCAACTATCTTGAGTGACTCGGGCAGTGCTTTCCTCGAATAGCGTTTCGTTTGGCGACATTTTTTGAAAGACCACTTTGCGAATCGACGTTTTTCCACTCCTAAAGAGTTGAAAGATTAAATCATGCATAATTCGTGATACGCATGCAAACGATGATGTCATATCGCTAGCCCTTTTCAAATATATACCTTTTCAATCCGGTCAGAATGACAATCGGTCGGGCGGCTCGTTCAGCCTCATCCAATCCATACGCGTAGTCGTCAATCTCATCATCACCATATGAAGACATCGTTGGCTGAAACATGAAAACCATATTGAGAATTGATTTAATCAATGTAAAATCTCGGCAATTTAAAAAGTTTAAAGATTAAGCTTAAAGATCAAACCAAACTTGTTCAAATAACCTTTTTGCAACCCTTTTTTTCAAAAATTCAAATATTTGATCGGAAATCATCGATTGCAAAGAAAGATCTCAAAAATTGTCGCACGATATTTATTCAAAAATACAAAATGCTAATTGCGAAACTGACTTGTAAAGACAAGTTGAAGTGTAGTTAAAACAGCACCGTCAAATTTATCACAATTCAAAAAACTCAACCGGCTCAAGTTTTACACCAAAAAATTCGTTGCGTTCCTGGCTACATGATGGGTGAAACAGTTTTTTAAAAAAAAAAGTTAATATTTCATAGATAAAAAGAGCGTTCAAAATGTGTGTCGAGTGATACTCAGTTGGTTAAGTCAGGACGTAGTTAAAAAAGCGCCATAATAGAAAACGTTCAAAATAGCGTTGTCAAATTCCTCACAATCCAAAAAACCAAGCCGGTTCAAGTTTTATACCAAAAAATTCCTTGTGTTCTTGGCTACATGATGGGTGAGAAACAGTTTTTTAAAAAAACTTAATATTTCATAGATAGAATTAGCGTTCAAAATGTGTGTCGAGTGATACTCAGTTGGTTAACTGAATATATTTAGAGACCCATTTTGAGTGCTTTTTTATCTATTAAACATTAACTTTTTAAAAACTGTTTCACCCATCATGTAGCCAAGAACGCAATGAATTTTTTGGTATAAAACTTAAACCGCCTTCGTTTTTTGGATTGTGAGAAATTTGACGGCGCTGTTTTGAGCGTTTTCTATTAGGGCGATGTTTTAACTACATCCCGACAAGTTAAGAGAGAGTTACATAAAACCCACACAAAGCACACATTTGGATGAAAACTTTTGCTAAAGCTCAACACTTCGAATGTAAAATAGATTACATCACACAAAAGTTATAATCAGAAAGCATATTAAATGGGAGGAGAAATGAACTTCGTTTCTTAAAATACAAGAATGTACCTACTCGACTTATAGTCATCACAACACCTCCACAAAAAAAAAAACAAAACATTAAAAAGAATTCTCAAAATAATAAAAACTAAGTCATCTCAGTATCTGCGTCAAGCGTCAATAATTTTTAGTCTTTTTTCAAAAAACTTAGACTAAAATTTTATTATTTTTCTCCTCACTTCAGTTTCTTGGTGATGTTGGTCTTCCAATCAAGAATTCGGAAAATTGATCTGAAATTTTAAATAAACAACCAAATTTTTAGATATTTTAAAACTATGCATTTAAAACAAAAATTTGAAAACGTCTATATTGATCCTGGATTCGATGCGAGACTACCACATTTCATATTTCTTCTATGAGTTGTAAAGTTGTCAATTTTCAAAATAAAACTTTCTAATAGGTTCTTCAAATAGAAGAAATGTGTTATTTGCTAAATTTTTATTTCCATAAAACTCACTAGGCTTTGTGGTCCTTGTTCGGAGGCCAAGAATCCGTTGCTTTTCGGATTCGAAATCGTAGAACTCACGTTTTGAAAGAGTCCTAAAATAAGCATAAATTTTTACCAAAATATAACTTTCTTACTTGAACGTGAGCTTCGGATGATTCTGTTCTTTTGAAGTAGAAAGAGATGAAGAGGATGAAGCTATTGAAGTCGTCATTTCCTCAAATTGAGGAGTAGCTAAATTTAGTTTTTAGGTGGCGATTTTTATTCAAAAGTACCTCGAGCTCCACCCATTCGAGGAGCAGGACGACTTTGTTGATTGAATTTCTAAAACTTTACAAGTAAATACCATTCTTAAGCAAAAATATGTGTACTTTTAAGCGTTTACTTGTGCAAATTTAGGGTAGTGGCTCATTTCTCCAGTGTACACTTTAAATAAGATTCACCTGGCGAGCTGGCCGATCATAGCCATCATTCCGACCTTGATTGGCTTGGGTCCTTGATTCATCACGACGACCATTCGTGCTTCCCATTCGAGTCGAGTAACTTGAGTCACCACTAAATAGGTAAATCAGTAAAATAAAGTGCTTGAGCAACTCACTAAGAATTCTGCGAGGCTCGACCGCTTGGCTCACAAGCAACACGCGAGATTGAGTCGCCAATTGCTTCCTAAAATGAATGAATTTTAGTAGCTATGCAATATTAAGCTTTTGGTACACTTGCATAACTAACTAGAAAGTATTCTTCTTATTAGAAATTTATAGATATAGATAAGGCTGTCTAACTTGCCTACAATAAACTAATCAACTTACATCATAGGACGGTGGAGGTGGGATGTTCGAACCCATTCGGTCCGGATAGCGAGGCTCTGGTTGCCTTTGCCGATGACGGGGCTCCTCTTGATAGTATCGTTGTTGCTGTCCATTCTGTGACGATGAGTATCCTTGTGGGTAGCGATTTTCCGCTCTCCCTGGTGGATAACGATTCTCATCTCTTCCCTGTATATAACGATCGTCTTGTGAATACCGAGGTTCTTGCTGTCTTTGTGGTGACGAATAGCGGCGTTGGTCTTCTTGCTGGTAACGGGACTGTCTTTCTTGGAAAACTTGGAAAGGTGGTGAGTATCGAGAATTCTGTACATCCTGCCTCGGACGTCCATATTGATCGTATTGTGCTTGTTGTGGAGAAGAGTATCGATATTGTTGAGCGGATTGCTGACGAGATCGATACTCCTCCGGCGAAGGGTCACGTTTTTCAGAAAGCAGTGAAGCAGAGTAGCGCCCATCGTTCTGTAGAGAAGCGTAGCTCGATGGTTGGCCACGATTGCGATCTAAATGATTAAAATATGAGAAAGAGTGAGTACATCACATTTTAAACGATCCGCCCAGCGGGCAGCGATACACCATTCAATACTTGCGCCCGACGGTGAAATTTGGTCGTGGACCAAATCATATTATTCGGTAAGAGGCTTCTTTTATAGTAATCACTCTAATGTTATTCTTTAGGTGCATGTCCAGAAGTTCGCCGGGTCCACTAGTTCTTCTCAGCTCAACCCTGGAAGCTCACCGGTACAAGACGATCTTGAAGAACGCTCTTCTTCCATTTACGGCCGTGAAAATGGGATAAGGATGGCTGTTGTACCAAGATAACGCTCCACAAGTCGCAGCTTTTGATGGGACGCGTTGTTCAGCTTGCCAGCGAAGACTCGTCTACCGGGTTGGTTTACTGCCAAATTGATGAATGCTACACCCTATAGCCCTTGTGAGCATATGTGAATTCAAAACTGAAGGGAAGACGATTCAGATCAAAGATGGAGCGCTGGTACTTCATTCGGAATGAATGGCAAAAATTTTCTCCATAAATTCTATAGGATTTGGTTGACTTGATGCCTAGAAGAATGATTTCAGTGATTTCAGCAAAGGGTGGCCCAACGAAATACGGAAAAGTTGAAAAGAATACAATCGGGGCCAATTCTTTTGTCCACCATTTCTTTATGTGTTGTGATAATTCGTATTTTTTCTCTTCATAATTCGTACTCGTACCTCTACCTACACCAGTACCAAACGCATGCAGACATGGCTCGAGAACTCAAACTCGCGCACACTGCAACAGAGCAATGGGGTCAGTGGACGAGAGATGTCTTCTCCACATGGTTCTCAAAACATCCAAGACAAATCGGTGGACCAGGCGTTGATATGGAGTTGGACGAGATGTATATTTCCCGCAAATACAATCGTGGCAGAATACCCGGTCAAAGAAGGATGTGGTCGTTCGGCGGAATCGAACGTGACTCCATGCAGTTGGTTCAAAGACGGGATGCATCCACCCTTCTCAGCATTGTGCAAGCTTGCGTTCGACCCGACAGCAACCTCTACACTGACTTGTGAGGTGCCTACGTTGGAATTCCAACCTTGCCTCCACTCTACCGTCATTTGACCGTTAACCACCAGCGGAGTTTTGTCAACCCAGCGCCCACCCACAAAATATCGAGTCCATGTGGTCGCGTTTGAAGAAGTGGATCATCAAAAGACCAAATGGTGTCAATACTTATTTTACTTATTTTCATACTTTCTTCGCCAATTGCGCACCGCCATAACTCTCCAAGTCGGTCATCTTTTGTTTTGTGTCGTTTTGTTCACTTGTTGAGATCTACAAATGACACAAAACATAAAGATCGGTCCCTCGAAGAAAGTTATGGCGGTTGCCGTTGGCGCAAAGTAGCCCCCCTCAGGTATTTTCAATCGCTCTCTTTTTTGGTCATTTTTGCACTTTTTGTACTTGTTTTTCTGCTTGTATAACGTTCAATTTAGTTTTTCTTCCTATTGTTTGTTCTTGTGTGTCTAAAATTTAAACCCGATTGAAAATCCATGGATAGGAGCAAAATTTTTAATCAATACCGTATTTACTCTAATAAAAGCCCCCTATAGGAGCGTGGCATAGTCTGTTTACACTCCAACAAATGCTCATATCTCGCGCCCAGACATTTGTTTCTGCGCGCTTCGGTATCAAATTAAAGTAGGGGGTGGGTGTTTTTTGGGTTCCTTATTTTTAACATTAACCAGCGCTTAGAACAAAATGATGAAAAATCGACTTTTTTGCCACTTTTCAATCAAATTTCAGTTTTTGGCCCAAAGACGGCTGCTGAGCAAAAGCCTGTACAGACGGACATTGCTCTATATAGTAGATACTTACATCTGCAAAACCAAACAATCCCCAAACTCACATCGAATATTGTCGAAAGCGTCATCTCGATCTGTATTGTGAAAGATCTGCTCTTCCGGATTTGAACCCGCATCATTATCACGCTGTTCATTCACAAGATCTTGCACATTCATCTCGGCCAGCTTCGTCAACACCGGCTCGATGCTAAAAAAGAAAACTTTAAAATTAGTATGACTAAAGCTACCTCGCTTCAGGGTCAACAAGCGGGAAACTTTCCGTCATCGGTTGAGCAAAGGAAAAACGAGAATTTTGAGGTGATTCATCCCAATCCGCAAATTTTGTTTCCATCCACATTGCGAAGATGTTGTGTCTAAAAGTTTACAAATCATAAAGTATAGCTCAAATTATTCAACATTCAACTGATTCACTATCGATCCTTACTATCGACAAAGCTTTTCGATTATTCAATGTACAAAATTGAAAATTTTCAGCTGCGTTGTTTCTGTCACAACGTAGGTACTGTTATTGGTTTTTAATGATTTTCGATATTGATAAGGGTCCAATAGTTTAATGGCTATTATAACTCACACAATGACAGCCGCCCGAGCCAGCGAACAATTGATTTGAAAAAGTGTCGCCATACCCGCGTGATGCGCACAAACAAGAATCCGATTGTGCGCGTCGTCGATCATCATTGGTCTCGATACGAATTCCTCGAGTTTCTCTAAATCAAGATAAAAATTATTGTGTAGCTAAAAACAACAGCTCTACATGCTCGAAAGTAGTACTCTAAATGTACCTTGGTTGAATGGGTGAAAAGTAGCTTTGGGTTCTCGTTTTTTCCAGTAAAAATCCCTTGCAACCAAGGTTTCCTCCAAAAGTGAAATTTTCGGCCTCAGATCTTCTAAAAACACAAAAACTTCTTTGATCTTAAATGGCAAAACTTACTAAATTGTTTCTCACATTGTGCTGCATGTGCCAAAAAGAACAAGGCGCTCATTGACTGAATGGAAAATTTAAGAAATACTATATCACGTAAAAACTTACGTGATTCCAATCCCTTTTTGAGACGAGAACCCGTTGTACATTGTACTCGTTGATCACCTCTTGCAAAAGATTGAAACCCTGGGAAAGTAGATGTAAGTTTTGTGAAGGAAATAACACAAACCTGATAAACAAGCACTTCATTCTTGCGATCTTTCTTTTTGTGGTCGACAAAGATGTTTGTCTTGTTTTCTAAAATGAACCAATTGGAGACTTTAAAAAATTATTTCTAGCCTTGAGCTTGAACATTGTCATGCGAATTTTCGGGGACACCATCGGGACTTCCGTAGAGCAATTGTGAATTGAACGTGAAGATCCATGATTTCGTTTTCTAAATGAAACAATTTGAATATCAAAATTTTCAACTAAAGAACCATTGTGATACTCAAAAGAGAAACTTACCAGAATCCCTTGTGCTTGATTGAAAATCACCAACGATAATTCAGATGGATGGGCTCGCGCTTTGAAGGAGGCCGATACGAATCTAAAACGTAGATTTACACTTAGATTGATCACAAAAATCATAAAGTATTGTAGTAATTTTGGGGGAAAATAACTTTTCTTATAAAAATCTACAGTACAATGAGCTGAAAGTTCAAACGCACAACTACTAGAGCTCCAAACATACATCGAGTCATAGATGTTCACTTTTATGACGGCATAGTTTTGATTCTGTAGAGTCCCTGAAAATTTGGCTAAATACATGTATATAGGTTTTCAAGCATACCTTTCAAAACTTCTCCCTTTTTCTCGACATAATTGATGACCAACTGACTCTTGGCAAATTCAAGCTCTTTTAGTGCGAATAAATGCATCGATTCTCCATAAAAAAACTAAAAAAGGTTTTAAGAAAAATCACTAAAAGATAGATACCAGAGGATTATCCGTAAATGACGACAAATCGCTTTCAGTGGCTGCATTCGCTGCCAGGCGGTGCACAATTTCTTCATGTTTCTCCTGGCGTATTTTCATCTGAAAAGAGCACATAAACTTTCACCTAAATTGATCATATTCCATTACAAGCTAGGCATAATATTGCAAAAATTACCCTCATTTCATATCCAGTTAGTCCCGCATTTTGATGCGAAGCTCGGCATCGCAAAGCCTCCTCATTTCGTCGTTGTTTCACCTAGAATCAAGTTAGACCCTTGACTCATTGTTCCAAGTTCAGTCTTTACTAACCATATCGGGCGCGTTTTGTTGTTGTGCCTCCTGTCTGTACATCGCTCGCTTCTCAGCAGACAACTCCTAAAAAGATCAGTTAGAGATTCAGATAGCTTTTTGTATTAACTATCCTAACTTAAAGCACCATAAATCTTGGTACTAAGGCAGTTGGGGGGTACCTAAAATTTTCCCAAATGTAGTATTTCTAGGGTAATTGTTGGCGCTAATCACGAAAAAAAACATTTTTAAGCTATGTTTTCAATTAAAAACATATATTTTCTCAAATATTAAGTTAACTCCCCACTCCTCGCACTTTTTTTCATTTATTTTTAAATAGGCGCCATATATGTACCTAGGCTTTGGCTCCGCACCTCTACCGCGCCGAAGGCGCTCTTGTGACCTAACTGCAGGATTTACTTTATTTTCTTTCGTTTACTTAACTTAATTAACCGGTTACTTCCATTTACTTAGTGTCGCATTTGCGCCGTCTGCTAGAAGCCTGAAGGTAGCGGGCTTTGTGTTTGTGAAGCTATCATGTTGGCCTCACGGTCAATATCGATCGGCGCCACCTACCCACAAAGGTCGCTATCTTCCGGCTTTAGCAACCGTCGCGCTCTGAGGGGCTGCAGTCAGATTACACGAGTGCCTTTGGCGCGGTAGAGGTGCGGAGCCAAAGCCTAGGTAAATATACGGCGCCTATGTAAAAATAAATGAAAAAAGAATAACAAAAATGTTTTTTCGTGAAGCGCCATCAATTACCCTAGAAAAACCACATTTGAGAAAATTTTAAGTGCCGCCCCCCCCTGCCCCCTCAACTGCCTTAGTACCTAAATCTTTAACAGATGCATCAGTGGTTCACTCACATGCCAAATTCGTCCCATCAGCTGGCTGTCACCCTTGTCTTTGCAATTAAAACGTCGTCTGTGAGTGTTCTGGAAGATTCCTCGGCCTTCTCTGTTCACAAACATCCAGTAATCCGATTTCCTTCCTCTAAAACGTAAATGGTATTTTTCTCGAACAAAAAAATAGTACGAACGTCGTTTTCTTGAAGATATTGTTTCCTTTGGCCTGATGGAGTGCGACTTGTTGTATGATATGGCTGGCATTGTAGGGATCCGGGATATCCTCACCGCGCTGCATCTTCTAAACAGAACATAAATGAAGTTCATGAAACAAACTGATCACTTTATTGATTTTCAAAAAGACTTCACAAACCCGTCGTTGTCGTATTTTTGATGTTGAACTTCACGACAACTCAGCGGGTCTAAATTTATTGATTAACACTCATCAAAGCAAGATTTAAAACACTCAAAAGAACAAAACACTAATATAAAAGTTATGCCCGTAACAAATGACACTTGACCTAGAATAGTTTACAAAAATGAGTTCATTGAGGAGGTCTCCGTTGCTGCTGCGGCTGCGGCTTTTTAAATCCATGCCGTAGACAGAAATTGCAAAGGACCTCTTGCGAAATCGGGTAGTCCATACTTTGAAGCACGGCCATTGCCGTTTTGTAGGAATTTGGCAGTGATTTATCAGTTCTTTCTCTCATAAACACCCATTCTTTCCTCTCGTTCCTTGTGCATTCGATGATTTTCCCGTCATATGGCTGAAGAGCTTTTGTGGCCTTAATATTTGCAAAAGCTTGATCATAATGTTGAACATAAAGACATCCCTGGTAAAATGGCAGCTCATTGACCCTTGCGATTCGACGGATTTGCAATAGGAAGTCGACCGAATTGTGAGATGGCGGTTTCCATTTCAGAACTGAATCCTGTCGACCGGCAATGTACGGCTCATCGCAAGGTTGAAAAATTAGCCCATCAATCTCATGCCCAACATTTTTCACGAATTTTTCGTCAAAGAGTTTTGGCACTGCGCAAATATCCCAAAATTCCTTGATTCGAACGGACATGACCTCTTGTTCTCTTCGAATGAAACCACTTGCAATTGCGTCTGCTCGTGGGCCGATGATCTCTTTATTGATGCATTGTCGACGAAGCTCGTAGTTCTCTTTCTTCAAAGAGAACTTTCCAAAATGAATGATGTCGAAGATGAAAAGCCGGGGTACTTGGGTTGTTTTCCCATTTATCTCCACTTTGTCGATAACCACCTCACAGTCAACGAGAACATCCGTGAGATGCTTGAACGGTTCGCGCTTTTCACGACGTCGTTGAACAAATTTCAGAGTCGGGATTTGAAAAACCTCATTGTCACGGTCAAAGGCAAAGATCTCATCCTCATCTTGAATGTACACCAAGTAACGCATTCCGTCGGCTTTCCAAGAGACCATGTAGGGCCTTTCAGCAATAAATCGAAGATTGTTGTTAGTAGGAGAAGATTCAAGTGAAACTGGTTGAGAACCGGGAAAGCCGTCCCTTCCATAACCGCATTGCTCTCTGATCTTGCTTCGTAGCATTTGCTTCTTCATTGGATCATTCACCAAAGTGACACCCGGGACTTCCCCTTCCATGAATTGCTTCCCACCAGCAGTCACATTCTCATTTGAAGTAGAAGCACCGTCATCTTGACCAGCCGGTGCATTGACCAGTGAATTTGCCTCATTTCGGTCCCAAGACGGCCTCTCTGGAGCTTCTAACATATCGCCATCTTTTTCGTATCTTTCAAAGAGATCATTGATGTAGTCTTGCTTGTAGATTCCACAAGGGCGACATTGGGCAAAGAGCGTCACCGCTCCATCCATCGCTAGACTATCAACATTCCATAGATAGGCACAAATGAGGAAACCCGTTCGATTGAATCCGTGAGTGCAGTGAATACCGATCACACCATCTGGTTCATCACCCAAATAGCCGTTGGCTATGCGAATGAATCGCTCAGCCTCATCTTTTGTCGGAGTGGCTCCATGACCAGCTAAGGGCAATTTCCGATACTTGCAATCGTTCTCCTCAACCTCGTTCTTTCCATAATAACGATCCGTTTTCGTGAGATCGATCCACAAGCCAATTTTTCGATTTTGCTTCTTGATCGCCGAGAAAACGTCACTTGGGTGAAAACGCAGAGCCGGATCGGGTATTTGATCGTCGTACAGCGAACAGAGTGGCGTTTTGAACGGGAAAAAGCGATTCGTCACCAAATTTCCCATTTTCGGACAGTATAGCCATCGATCGGGAAGGCCATAACGCATCGCAATCTCCTTGCTCGGTCCTTTTCGCGGGTTCATACCTGAAATTATAAAAATGAATGTGAAGATCAGATTTTAAATGAGTTAGATAAAATTAAAACGAACTTAGTAAGGTCGCTTTGTGGACAAAGAATACGAAAGGGGGAGTGGGAATTGTGAAGAGACGCAGAGACACCACGACACTACAATACGCGTTGCTGCAGCGCTTGTCGTTGTCGTCTTTTTCTAGCGTAAAATGCGCGGGGGGGGGGAGGTATTGTGCAAGGGTTGTGCAAGCATAATTTGGTTATGAATAAAATTTACAACTAGTGCAAGTTCTAATATACACTGCTGAACATAATTTTAAGAACACTTTAAAAACTTAATAAATATTAGTGGCAATCAGAATCGATTTGCCGTTTGCCGCTCAATCAATAGTTTTTTTTAAAAAAGCGCAAAATTGGGTCTATCCCAAAACAGCGCCGACCAAAACAGCGCCACCCAAAATAGCGCCGTACAAACAGCGCCACCCAAACAGCGCCAATGAAAAACGCCCAAAACAGCGCCGATGCAAAACAAAGTTTTTTTTCTTTTACAATGTACACTCATTTTTTTTATTAGCAGCTTTTAATTTTGATAATTTATTTAAAAATAACATGACCAACAACAATAAACGATAACAATTAAACGATGCATAAAAAGCATTAAAATAGCATGAAATTAATAGTCCAAGAGACTCTGAAACATCATAACACTAGCGATGATGAGCATAAACGGCTAGAGCTTTCAAGTGATCCGTAGTAGAAATAAAAAGTTAGTGAAAATGTTAAAAAACAGGCCGTAAAAGGAAAAAAATTGTTAGTTTTGGTTAAAATCAATTTTATAAACGCTATCGCAGGTTTCTATGCGTAAAGCTTTAAAAAAATCGGATTCTCCGCCTTTTTTTACCCTAAAAACACAAAAAGCGGGCAGAAAAAGTTAAAAATAGCAAAGAAAAAGCAAAAGCAAAAATCTACAAAATAATTTTTTTTGCTCGTCGCTGTTTTGGGCGTTTTTGCATTGGCGCTGTTTTGGGTACGGCGCTGTTTTGGGTACGGCGCTGTTTTGGTCGGGGCTGTTTTGGGATAGACCCGCAAAATTTCAAGTGTTCCTAAAATCCTAAAATTATGTCCAGCAGTGTATTTAAAACGGTGGGTCCGTCTGATACCTTAAAGCGTTGAGCTAGAGAACCGAAAATTTAGAAAGATACGTAAAAAAGTACTCTGATGCAGAATATCTAATCAGATTTTTAATACGAGTCGGTTTTAGTACTCATTACTGGGTGTAGTAGGGCCCAATGTGGCAAGAATAGGAAAGAACCAAATTTGCATAGGAAATTCAAATTGGTGAAAATTTCGCTGATACCGCAATCCCAAATGACGATTTTCACGAAGTTCAAACCGAAAACTTTCGGGACGACCCAAAAACCGCAAATTTTTTTCCGCAAAGGGGCATTTCCGCAACTTTTGCTATCTTGATAGCCTGTGGTTAGATTTCTGTTTTTGGTACCAAAATCTGACCATAGATTATCGAGTTATGTCGAGTAATAGAAAGTTGCGGAAAAAAATTTGCGGTTTTTGAGTTCTCCCAAATTTTCACGAAGTTCAAAATGAAAATTTTCAAGGAACAGTTGGCGGAATAGTTGGCGCTTTAATTACTTCCGATATTTTTTCGAAGGGTATCTAACTATGTAAAAAGATCTAATATGTATAAATGGACAGATCTGTCAGTCAGTCCGTTAGCAATAAACTCGAAAAATGATCAGTTTTGGCTGAAACTTCTAGGATTAGGGTAAAAAAAATGCGCTGATCACGAATCTGCAATCAGATTTTTTGAAAAAGTTGAAAACCCGCTGATTTATGAAGTTGGCGGTGTTTGCGCAGAATTTTTTTAGCGCGACTACGCGATACACCTAACTCCAAAATTAAAAAAGTCAAAATTGAGTGGCACGACGGGGGTTCAACCCGGGTCATGTGGGCCGTAGACAAGCGCGTTCCAATTCAAGGGTATTGTGATTGATCACAGTATTACTTTACTCTTCATTTAAGACTTTGCGGTGCCGCCATTTGCCAGCTGAAAACGGCTGATAAAATGAAGCACAGTTGAGTAGACTTGGCTATCGATATTTTGGAGTGCTCGCGTTAAAACAGACATATCTTTGTGATTGTAGCTCCAAATGCTCGGAAACTTTTACCAATGGAAAGCCAGAAGTTCAAACTTCTGGCTTTCCATTGGTTCATTTTGGTTTCATCTTCGTATCTAACTGTTAGAAGAACAATGCACCTCAAAAAACCTTAACGATATGATTATATCGATACGCTATCAATATGATTATATCGATTATAAATAAGGGCTCGATGAGGCCATATCGACAGCATATCGATTAGATTTTGAGAGCGGCGTTTTGCGTACTCTTCTAAGTACTAGGTACCAAAATGAAGCTTGAACTTTTGACTTTTTAATGGTAAAAGTTTCAGAGCATTTGAGTAGTTTTGAGCAAAGTTATAAGATTTTTTACGTGCTACTCCAAAAATACCGATAATCTCGATAACCAAGCCTACAGTTGAGTACAGAGTTAAGTGGAGACCAAAATAGATTTTACCAATGGAATTTTAGCACCAGCTTCTATACGTTTTATGTAGATATAGGATTTGTCGAAAATATAGCAAGTAGCCATCAATCTTGTGCTTTTTGTATTGGGTTGGTGGAAAAGTCCTTTCGGATTTTTTGGGAGAGTACCTTAAATTTGTCCAATTTTGACATTTTATAACTCATCCTAAAGCTGAATTCAAGACGGATCGATTGGTAAAAACCGTTATTTGTTTTCTCTTTTTTGTTATTATGGTAAATTTTAGGTTACAACAAAAAAAAGGGGAAAAGCGAAGGAAAATCGCGAAAAGCGGCGGAAAGGTTATTGATCTGAGGGTCGCTGATATTGGAACCGTATTGGAACTGTATTAGATCAAAATAGGAACCGTATTGGAAGCGTATTGGAAGCGTATTGGAACTGTATTGGAACCGTATTAGATCAAAATAGGAACAGTATTGGAACCGTATTGGAAGCGTATTGGAACCGTATTGGAATCGTATTAGATCAAAATAGGAACCGTATTGGAACCGTATTAGATCAAAATAGGAACAGTATTGGAAGCGTATTGGAACTGTATTGGAACCGTATTAGATCAAAATAGGAACCGTATTGGAACCGACTTCGACTTCCACCGGTGACAATATTTTTCAAAAATTTTTTGCTAAGATTCTGAAAATTTGTGTCTAGGGGTTATTTTTGACGCTGATCACGAAACACACGTTTTTAGCCTAGGTTTCTGCACGGAAAACTAACGAAACGTGAAAATAGCCATTTTTTGGCTCTGCAGCCCTTTACTAAAATAGCTGTAAAAACTTTAAAAAAAAAGATAACTCAAAACGGTTTTTACCAATCGATCCGTCTTGAATTCAGCTTTAGGATGAGCTATAAAATGTCAAAATTGGACAAATTTAAGGTACTCTCTCAAAAAATCCGAAAGGACTTTTCCACCAACCCAATATGATTCCAAGTTGGAATCATACGGAATTTCCAAAACATTCAGCAAAGAAATATTTAAACAAAAATCGCTGCAAATCAAACCCAAAATCAACTTGGCTTTTAATGCAATCAATTAAGCGATCGATATTTCAGAAAACTCAATCATTAATCATTGTATGCACTTAGGAATTGCATCAGCCCATTGATTTTTTCAATATTTTCAGCATTTTTCAGCTGAAAGCATGTTTTTTTCTGGAAAGAGGATTCATCAGCGACGGAGGAGAATTTTGTAAACAAATGCCAATAAATGCCATTTTTTGGATCTTTTCCATTGAAACTTTTTTGAATGAATGGAACAGAAAAATAAAAAGATTGGGAAAAATAAAAAGATTGCACTTTGGGAAACTTATTAGGTTGGGGAGAAAGTTCCGATTTTTTGGAAAAGGGTTTTAAACTTATCCGATTTGATCGTGTAATAGCTCATTCAAAAGCTAATTATCTAGCGAATGAATGGAAAAGACCGTTTGTCGATTCATCAACTTTCAAAGTTTTTGCAGCCGTTTTACTGAGCTGCCATTGACCCCAAATTCCCAAAAAATGGACTTTATTTGTTTTTTTTTTTGTATGGAAACCTGTGCTGAAACCATTTTTTTTCGGAATCAGCTTCGGAATCCATCACGTTATGGCCATAATTTGTTCGGTTTTGAAATTGTAGAAATTTTATTCAAATGAGGCATTCTTTCAGCATTGTTACATCAACTCTTCAACATGAGATCTTTTTCCTAAAAAGTTACATAGTAAGTTAGCACTTTTGGTTTGCTATTGATATACAGGGTGCGCCAAAAGTTCCCGTACTTGTATTTTCTGCATTTTTGATAATTTTAGATAAAAGATACGATTTTAAAAGTAAGAAATTAGAATTCCTCGCGAAAAACTGATTTAGAAAACGTTTCTGGTTAATTTATAAGTGCAACGCTATTTAAGACAAGTGATTGAGAAGAGGGTTCGCTCAGGGGCGCTTTGGTTGCACAGTTACAGGGCAGAGCTACCAGGCAGAGCTACCAGGCAGAGCTACCAGGCAGAGCTACCAGGCAGAGCTACCAGCAGAGCTACCAGGCAGAGCTACAGGGCAGAGCTACAGGGCAGAGCTACAGGGCACAGTTACAGGGCAGAGCTACAGGGCACAGTTACAGGGGAACAGTTACAGGGGCACAGTTACAGGGGCACAGCTACAGGGGAACAGTTACAGGGGCACAGTTACAGGGCACAGTTACAGGGCACAGCTACAGGGCACAGCTACAGGGGCACAGTTACAGGGGAACACAACAGGGAAGTCGTTGACCAAAACTTTATATACCCAATATAAAAAATGTCACATTTTATGTCTAGTTTTCGAAAAACATCTTGGCTCTTGAAAATCTTTTGATCCATAAAGGTTACAGGCCCAAAGCCCCAAAAAAATGTGCGATCAAAGCGCCCCTGAGTGGACCCTCTTCTCAATCACTTGTCTTAAATAGCGTTGCACTTATAAATTAACCAGAAACGTTTTCTAAATCAGTTTTTCGCGAGGAATTAGAATTTCTTACTTTTAAAATCGTATCTTTTATCTAAAATTACCAAAAATACAGAAAATACAAGTACGGGAACTGTTGGCGCACCCTGTATTTTACGGGTGCGTTACACTTTGAAGATCATAAAGAGAAATCGAAATTATTTCTCATAAAGAAATACCGTCAGCAGACCTCAAAAAACTGCATACAACAATTGACGATTTTGAGAAAAATCATATTCCCGGCGACAGTAATGTGAAGAGAAATTGCACCAAGATACATCCAAAATGGACCTAACAAGTTGTAGAAGCGTTTCTGGAATTAGATTCTTCAGTACAGATTCTCAGTACAGATTCTCAGTACAGATCCTCAGTACAGCTCCTCAGTACAGCTCCTCAGTACAGCTCCTCAGTACAGCTTCTCAGTACAGCTCCTCAATACAGCTCCTTAGTACAGCTCCTTAGTACAGCTCCTTAGTACAGATTTTTTGCACCTAACCTGATTCACGAAATGCGATGGAATGCTTTCAATCCATTTCTGTCGATTCCCGATTGCCATTATCAAAATGATTGACAAAGCGATCATGTCCGCGAAAATCATCAATGATCGAAGAACGATAATCTGAAGATTTGAGACTATTTACCTAGAGCAATACGCTTTCTAAAACCTATCAACTTTTGAACTTAGATAAAAGCTATTAGGCAAGGCTATAGTAAGTTTCAGAAATTCACTAGGCATTACTTAAGAGACTCTAGCTGCTCTGACAAGTACTCTAGCTGCTCTGATAAGTACTTTAGCTGCTCTGACAAGTACTCTAGCTGCTCTGACTATAAAACAAGTAAGGGAACATCGATTACGTCTTGGATACGGCAGCTGAAGCAAAAGCGCGCTTTTTAGAAAAGCATTTGCGTCAGAATCTAACTCATTTCGATTTTCTTTTTGTTTTTTTCTTACCTGAATATTCAAAAGTGGTCTTCGTTCCAAGTAAACACCAAAAATCTGAAAATTTCGCCTTCAAAAGCCGAATTTTATGACCAACCGCAGCTGTGATTCCAGCAAAGTAAAGAGTTGCCACACTGGCCACCACCAAACGGAAGTAGTTTTTCTAGATAAAGCTTTGGATACACAAGATCTAATACAGATAAAAGAGTGTCTGTCTGTCTGTCTGTCTGTCTGTCTGTCTGCCTGTCTGTCTGTCTGCCTGCCTGCCTCTCTGTCTGCCTATCTCTCCGTCTATCTCTCTACTTACCTGGATAAAGAACCCATGACTCTCCATTCCCCAATAGATGGCCACAAAGAGGAGAATCAAGAAGATCTGAAAGGATACTGTACTAGTGTGCATAATTTTACTTATTAGAGTATCTTTCTCTATGGTCCACGATTCCTAAAGTAAAGCCTAACTAGAGAACGTCGCCTGGTGACCTTTTAAGACAAGACCATTTTTAGCATTTTATCGATTCAAATTGTAATACAAAATTAAGTTTAAAAACACTGAAGAAAAAAGCAGTTAAAAGAAAAAATAAGCTTGCAAAAAGGTGCTAGATTAAGAAAACCAAAAGAAGAAGAGGAGGGGAACGAACCAGGGTGCTTTGGACCCGTATGTCGGCAGCTCGACATCGTCAGCTCTACATCGGTAGCTCGACATCGTCAGCACTACATCAGCAGCTCTACATCAGCAGCTCTACATCGGCAGCTCTACATCGGCAGCTCTACATCAGCAGCTCTACATCGGCAGCTAGTCGGCAGCTGGTCGGCAGCTTTGCCGATACAACACTTCTCTAGTTGACTCCGTTGAGAAAATTGAACTCAAGTAAGGTATCTAGATCTAGATATAGTAGATATCTAGATATATAACTTGTAACCCAGATATCTCGCGTTACAAGCCTCAAGGACCAAAACTGAAAACGGATTTGGAATCAGCGTAGTAGTCGATTCTATAAGATGGAGTTGGTCTCGTCTTAAGAAACGGGCACCGAACGTTCCCTAGTAAGATTTACCGGATTTCGTGTCATTGTTAGCGTTAGCGTTAGTAAACTAGAGTTCGAGCCCAGCGCTGATATTTTTGTATTCCCAACTCGTAAAGGAAATGATTCATTGTTTAACTAAGTTTCCCACAAAACACACTACTGTTGGAGAGAAAAGCCAAGAAGCGAAGCCAAGAAGAGAAGCCAAGGCTTATAGCCAAGAAGGAGAGAGAAGCCAAGAAGAAAACAATGCTTTTAGCATCACAGTGGAGGTGGAATAGTTTAATGAGTAAATTTCAAAGAGCTTGTTGACTTTTTGGACCTTTTCGAAATCAAGAACCTTACTTTTAACTTCCAAAAACAACACCTGTAAAATGGAGACTACATGCACGGCGGTGGTTGTGTGAAAGAGCTCGAAAGTAGCTGTGGGAAAATATTTGGAAGAGTTTTGGTCGAATTTCTCATCAAATTTCTCATCACATTTCTCAGTGAGGTCCTAGAAAATTCGAAATATCAAAAATATCAATATCAAAATCAAAAAACTATTTACTTTTAAAAACTTTTCTTTTATTTTTCTTTAAAGGGGGGTATTAATCGCGGCCGGGTGACGATAAAAAATTTTTTTTTACGGCAACCACCTGTTTTCTTATTTTAATATCGCTGATTTTATTATAAAAAGAATAAAAATCACCCGGCTAGAGTGATTTGATGGGTTTACAAATTTTTGGAGACACTGCAAGGCTTGGAGAAAAACAAGATCGTCACTCATCAGACACCCCAGCTAAAATGCACCTATTCGAGAAAACTAAAACCACAAGCGACCACAAATGGAAAAAAGATCTAATTGTGTCAATCAAAGCGCTGAAGACGTCCTACGGTGGAGGAGATCCAGTCACTTCTGGTGAAGATGCGCTGGAAATTGGAACCGTATTGGAACCGTATTGGAACCGTATTAGATCAAAAAAAGAACCGTATTGGAACCGTATTGGAACCGCTGTACTGTTTGAGGAACTGCTGTACTTGAGCGAAGATGAAAGTGAGCAAGAGGAAGTGAGCAAGAGGAAGAATTATAGATTAACAATTTATTTTTATTGTTTTTTTGTGCTTTTTATTTTGTTTTTAAATTTATCTGCAATTAAAACTCAATCGATCTAGTCTGTGCGATCTAGACTCAATCGATCTAGACTGTCTGATGAGTGACGATCTTGTTTTTCTCCAAGCCTTGCAGTGTCTCCAAAAATTTGTAAACCCATCAAATCACTCTAGCCGGGTGATTTTTATTCTTTTTATAATAAAATCAGCGATATTAAAATAAGAAAACAGGTGGTTGCCGTAAAAAAAAATTTTTATTGTCACCCGGCCGCGATTAATACCCCCCTTTAAAAGATTTCTTTAGCTAAACCAATCATTTTTGACAACACTTACCTTCATCGATTTGTTTAAAGCTTTGGATAAGCTATATTAAAAATTTGAATAGTTTTATTGGTTGAATATTATCAAAATAAGTAGAAGATTTAATTTTATAGAGAGGTGATTGGATTGAGCAAGATTTGAATCAATATCGTGCGGATTGGAGAAGTGAATTGAGTGAAAAAGGCGAAAGAAAAGTGAAAGAGATGACCTCATTCTCTTTTCTCTCTCATTTTCATGGATTCATTCGATCCTGAAAGTCAAAATATCAAAAAGAAACAAATTTATGATCAAATTGTTGCTGATTAGCTGATTAGACTAACGATGTAGCGAGGAAATGTAGATTGTAGATTACCATAAATCAAAGACGAAAAGATTGAGACAAAAAGAGACAAAGAATTGAGAAGATATGGCATAATTCCATTGGACATCTATTGACGTTCAAAATTTCCAGATCTACCGTATGCCATCTGTCTGTCTGTCTGTCTGTCTGTCTGTCTGCCTCTCTGTCTGTCTGTCTGTCTGTCTGTCCGTCTGTCTGGCTGTCTGTCTGGCCACCTGTCTGTCTCTATATCCGTCTGTCTGGCTGTCTGTCTGTCTGTATATCCGTCTGTCTGGCTGTCTGTCTGTCTGCCTCTCTGTCTGTCTGGCTATCTGTCTGTCTGCCTGCATGTCCGTCTGTCTGGCTGTCTGTCTGTCTGTCTGCCTCTCTGTCTGCCTGTCTGTCTGTCTGTCCGTCTGTCTGGCTGTCTGGCTGTCTGTCTGTCTGCCTGCCTGTCTGTCTGCCTCTCTGTCTGTCTGTCTGTCTGTCTGCCTGCCTGTCCGTCTGTCTGTCTGCCTCTCTGTCTGCCTCTCTGTCTGGCTGTCTGTCTGCCTGTCTGCCTGCCTCTGTCTGTCTGTCTGTCTTTATGATGCTTTTTCGCGACAAACGCCACGTTTAAAAGCCACTAAATCTAAAATGACAAAGAATTCTCTTCCCTAAAGTTTTCTTTCCTTAGTTTTCTCAATTCCTTTACGATCTTCAAAATCCTACTGTCTGTCTGTCCAATAGAATACTTTTCTTTTCACTGAAAGACGAAAACCCAAGGAGAAAGGAAATCAAAACGAGTTCCTTTCTTCTTTAAAATCAGCAAATCTCACAGCGGTTTTCAATCTCTAACAAAGCATCAAAAAGCATTATTCAATCAGTTTCATGCTTAAACGAAAATTCTTGACAACATTGGACAAAACTTTAACTGTAAATTTAAAAAACTTTGAAGCTGATGAACTGATGAAACTGTAGTTCAGAGTGCAATAGAGGATCTCTATCTCTATTGCTAGATAGAGATTCTCTATTGCACTGTGCATTCTTTGATCAGCAGAGTTGATTCTTTTAATCACGCTTGCTTCAACGATTTTCAGTCTCTTTTTACGCCTTAGAATTCTTATTCTAGTTCAAGTATTTGCAATGATTAAAGAAGAAAAACCACTTTTAAGTGATTCCTCATAGAAGTTGTGGCAGTTGGGATAAACTGAGCTGTCTGTCTTGTCTGCCTGTCTGCCTGTGCATTCTTTTGCACATAGATTGCAGTTGGCAAAAACAAAAACTTCTGATTCTCTTTGTTTTTGGTCATGAATTGCCAAAAATAGCTTTCTACTTGGGTTTTCCAAAATCCTTAAGAGAACTTATGAGCATTAGTCTACTTTCGATAAAATTTTACCCCATTCATCATGCTATCAATGCTATAACTGCCGTCATTATCTAAAAAAAGAATATTAAGTGCGTTTCTGGACTTGTGCAACTTTAAGTGAGCTTGAAAAACTACTTATGGGCAGAACTGGGCAGTTCTAGGGGCTCTGGTCTGGTTCGACTTTACTGCAGGCCTAGCTTTTACAGAAGGCCTGATCTTTACAGCAGATCAAAGTCCGCCAAAAGTCTTTACCAGGCTTGCTAAATCAAGATTTCTAGCAGATAATCAAGTAGAGCTTACAAAATCTGTAATCCAATGTACATATCTGTCTAGAAATGTACATATCCAATGTACATATCTGTCTAGAAACTTTTGTGAGCAGCTGCGTTGTTCAACACTGTCTTGTTGAGTCTTGTTTTCTGAAATGTGACTCATCAAAACCATAGTGCGTTAGGATTAGGTAAAGTTTGAATGTTTAAACATTAGGATATGGTATTCAGTTAACAAGCCTCGTTCTCGAAGCAGTCAACCATCAATGGAATGCAATCTTTCCCAGTCGCAATCTTTCCCAGTCTCAATTCTCTTCTCAGCCTCCCCTTCAGGCGATAACTTGTCCTTGGTTGCTTGCGAATTCTTCCTTTTTCTCTATTGTCGTTCTCTTTTTCTTTCTTCTTTCCGATTTTCTTTTTACCTTGATACGAACCTGTCTTATTTTGCCCCTTTTTTTTGCTTTTTCTATGAAATCTTTTCACCTTCACCTGTTGCCGAAACGTATTTTTCGACTCCTAAAGCAGTCTTTCATTGATCAACTGATCAGAAATCTTTCATATACTTAAAAACATTGAATTCACGATGTAAGCTTTAGTCTTGAACATCTTGAACTCATGAACAGATGCTTTTCTATCCTTTTCTACCTTACCGTAAGGTAGAAAAGGATAGAAATATATATGTCGTAGCCGATTATGAATGAGCGGGTCTAGGAGCGTCCAACCATCAAGTATTTAGTCTCCTCCAACGCAGAATCATTAATAATTATGTTAAATTTTTAAAATTAGAAAGATTTAAAAAAAGAAAAAAAATTATGGGGCCTCAAAGTTTCCCCTTGAACAAACAGTTTTTTTGCTCTAATTTTTTTTCTTTTCATCAAATCTATCTAATTTTAAAAATTTAACATAATTATTAATGATTCTGCGTTGAATGATATCAAATACTTGATGGTTGGAAGCTCCTAGACTCACTTATTGATAATTGACTACGATAGACTGTATACAGGACAGTACAGTACAGTACAGGCATCCAACCATCAAGTATTTAGTATCATTCAACGCAGAATCATTAATAATTATGTTAAATTTTTGAAATTAGAAAGATTTGATAAAAAGAAAAAAAATTATGGGGCCTCAAAGTTTCCTCTTGAACAAACAGTTTTTTTTGCTCTAATTTTTCTTTCTTTTTATCAAATCTTTCTAATTTTAAAAATTTAACATAATTATTAATGATTCTGCGTTGAATGATACCAAATACTTGATGGTTGGAAGCTCCTAGACTCACTTATTCATAATCGGCTACGGGGGTCCCGCCGATTATGAATGAAACGTTGTAGCGCCGGTAATTTTTAACCTAAACTCACAAATTTGGTACCAATCGACGCAGAATTTAATTCGCTACAGGATGATATAATATTGTCCTCATACATTAAAGGGTTGCCCTACTAGAAAGATTTGCCGAAAAATTTCATTCATAATCGGCTACGACATCTACGTAACCTAAGCCCTAGATGTTTTTCTTTGACGACGTTTTCTAAAACGTATCCCGTTTCTTCAAACTACTGTAATCTTGTCTATTTTTAACCAATCTATCCACTTTTTATATCTTTCGATATATTTTTTGAGCCCTCACAGAATCAGAAAAAAAGTAGATTAGTAGAGAAAAACTTTCAGAGAAAAAATGTGTTTTTCGAGACGTTTTCATGTTAAATTTGAATTTCTGTCGGAAATTTAAAATATTAATTTTCGCGCGACCCCGCATTCCAATTGACGTCCCCGCCATTTGGAGGTAGTCGATGGGAGCGCCGCGTCGTCGTCTCTTTTTCATTTTCAAATCATTTATTTTTATCAGATTAATTGAAAGTATTGTTTTAAGCGATAGATTTTTTGTTGAAATGAGAAAGCAATTTATTTTCATTTGGGAGCCGACGACGTCGCATTCCAATTGACGTCGCCGCCATTTGGAGGTAGTCGATGGGCGCACCGCGTCGTCGTTTCTTTTTCTTTTTCAAATCATTTTCTATCTTCGTCGTTCCTTTTTCATTTTCAAATCATTTGTTTTTCTCAAATTAATTTATCGCGTAAAACAATACTTTCAATTTTGTATTGAAATGGGAAAGCTATCTATTTCCATTTGGGAGCCGAGTGGAGAATCCAGAACTTTTCGTAGCCCGATCACAATGAATGGAAGCGCCACGTCGTCGTTTCTTCTTCATTTTTAAATAATTTGTTTTTTTTTTTTTATTTAGGTTTGGTTTGTTTGTTTGTTTTTATCAGCTTAATTGAAAGTATTGTTTTAAGCGATAGATTTTGTGTTGAAATGAGAAAACAATTTATTTTCATTTGGGAGCCGACGACGTCGCATTCCAATTGACGTCCCCGCCATTTGGAGGTAGTCAATGGAAGCGCCTCGTCGTCGCTTCTTTTGCCTTCTCAAATCATTTGTTTTTATCAAATTAATTTATCGGGTAAAACAATACTTTCTATTTTGTATTGAAATGACAAAGCTATCTATTTCCATTTGGGAGCCGAGTGGAGAATCCTGAGCTTTTCGTAGCCGGACCACAATAAAGACCAAAACTAACTGTAAGATGGTTTACGGAGTTAAATGGAAATAACAAAAGCAAAAGGCTCATCTTCTGCACCGTTACAAAACTGAACTATTAGATGAAAATAGAGACATGGTAGAAGAGAAAGGGAAATGTTTTAGGCATTCTAGTTGTGATTTTACTTTGTTTTTTCCCAATAAGGCAATTTTCTATCGAATGGATATTGAAATTTTCCATTTCCCTAAGCTTGGCTTGTTTCCAATCCCTCAATCTTTTTCATTTCATGCAAGATTTCATCAATTCTTTTCCGATATCAGTTTCACTTTTCTTTTCTTTTCTCTTTTCTTTCTCTTTTCTCTTCTCTTCTCTTTTCAGCAGATCCGAGGCGATATTCGGAAAATCGCAAAAGAAACGAAAGAGGAGTGGTGAGGCATAAAATCTCGGCACATTCGATTAGCGCGCTTTGCATTTCACTCCTTACCTTCACCCCCGTCTTTTCTCCCAAAATTCCTTTAGCTCTTAGGAATTCAATTCCA